CTAAATTTTGTTTATGGTTTAAGTTTTATTTTGCTTTTAATTGACACATTGATTGTACATATTTATGGAGTACACTATAATAACATTTCGATATATATGTACATGGTATATTTATCAAATTAGGGTAACAAGCTTATCTATCACTTCAAACACTTGTCATTTCATTAACAGGTGATGAGAACATTCAAAATTATATTTTCCAGTTATTTGAAAGTATATAATACATTATTGTTGATTATAGTCACTCTATTTTGTAATGGAGCAACCAAAATTGATATCTCTTATCTAACTATAACTTTGTACTTGTTGACCAACCTCTCTCAATCCCCTTCTTCACTCTATTTCCTCCAGTCTTTGGTAGCCACTATTCCACTTTCTACTTCTATGAGATTTGTGTTTTTAGATTTCATATAGGCGTGAAATCAAGCAGTATTTGTCCTGTGCTTGGCTTATTTCACTTAACATAATGTCCTCTAGATTCATCTATGTCATCACAAATTACAGATTGTTTGAATAGTTGAATCGTATTTATATATTATATGAATGTGTAACATTTTTAATCCATTCAATGATAGACACTTAGGTTGACTGTATCATGGCTATTGTGGATAGTGCTGTGAGAAACACAAATGTGCCAATGTCTCTTTGACATCATGGTTTCACTTTCTTTGTAAAAGTAGTAGTGGGATTTGGGGGATTATACAGTAGTTCTTTTCTTGACTTTTTGAGGATCTTCCAAATTGTTGTCAATGATGGATCTACTAACATATATTCCCATCAACAGCGTATGGGCTCCTCTTTCTCTGCATCTATGCCAGTATTTTTTTTTTTTTTAGAATAGTTATTTTAACTGGAGTGGGATAATATCTCATTGTGGTTTTGATTTGCATTTCCCTGATAGTTAGTGATGTTGAATTACACACACACACACACACACACACACACACATCTTTGCTCATTTGTTCATTTGTAGTTTTTCTTTTGAAAAAGGCTTATTTAAATGTTTTGTCCATTTGGAATTGAATTTATTTATTTATTTTTGCTATTTAGTTGTTTGAGTTCCTTTTGTATTCTAGATATTAACTTCTTGAGTAGACTATGTTTTAATTTAATGCTAATGTTCGTTAAGTATTGCTGACTATGTATTCTTTTAAAAAGTCCTGGATATTATACAACTTATATCTCTTATTAAAGTATTTCAACACATCAAAGATACTTGTGCCAGTGCCTACTTTGTCTATTTCTAAGAGTTACATAGTATTCTATTTATTCCTTGATACCTTCTTATATCTCAGAACATTATAGACAAGCTTACTTTACCTCAGGGAAAAATCGGATATAGGTCAAGAAAATTAGGATAATGGAGAAACAGGATGTTGAAAGTTGAAATAAAAATAAATTATGAGCTTTGGAATATATGACATTGTATCACGTGATGATTCAGTTGTCATATGTATATGTTGGAGAAGAAAAGTTGAAATTTTCATTTGTTTCTTTCTTTTTGCTTTATTTTCTGGTACAACATTTTATATTTTTGCAGACATATGATATATAAATGCAAAATAATCAATTAAAAGTACAAAGATGTTGCAAATTAAAATGGGACCAGGTCTAAAGAATCCCTTTACAGACAAAACCAGTTAAGTGACCTTAACCTTGTTTGATTTAGAAAAATAAGTGAAACTTAATATCAAATATTTCTTATAAATGTCTATACTAACAAAAACAGAAAAACTTTTATATAGCTAAGAACTTTTCAATGGCATAAGCCAATTAAGGCAACATTTTGTTGTTGTGGTGGTGGTGGTTTTTTTTTTTTTTTTAAATATTCACTTTTGTGTTCCTCTTATAAAAGCCTCTCAGCCTGTTCCCTTGGTGAAGGTCCAGAACCACTTCTTGTTTTGACTGCCTGATTCATAAATTGCTGTTCCTTTATGCAAACTCTTTAAAAATGTTACTATGCCTCAGTTTGACTTTTTAACAGACAGGTTACACAGATCAGAACTCCAGATATAGATTAGACTGTTATTAGAAAAACTAGTAGTATATCTCTTATTAGTCAATATTTACATTGTGGAAAACCTGACTTCTGCAACTTGCATACTTAAAAATACAAAAAATTGGGGGGAAATGAGTGGGATATAGCTCACTTGAATGTCCCATGAAAGAGAATACACATAAACAGAAAAACAGAAAGCCAAAAACTGAAACTTAGCAATCACTTAAATCACAGTAGTGCTTTTTAAAGTAACAACAATTCAATACAGGGGTTAAAAGTGATGTTCTTGAATTGATATAGACATAGAGATCAATGAAATAAATGTGCCTGAAGTACTGTAACTACTTAGAGCTCACACTTGTTCCAGTCCTGTTCTCCATTTTCTTTGTAAAATGACTCTATTTTTTGTACTCTTTCATGATCTCTTTGCTCTTCAACATTCCAAAGTTGTTTCCCAGTTATGATTTTAACTTCTGAAGGCCCCACCATCTTTAATTCCCTGGATCTCATCTAACCTATTCCAGGCCAGTTGTGCCTGTCTAGATGGAAAAGCAATGTTTTCTCTCCTATATAGCATTTTGCTTTAAAAACTTAAAAATTCAGGAAATTAATATAAAGAAGTAAAATTTAAAACACTGAGTTGAGACCTTTGCTTTGTTAAACTCTGCAGTCTCCACATAGTTCGTTGAGCTATAGCTGCCATGTTTCCTTAGCTTTGGCCCCACTCCGCTACCTTGGGGAGGTGTCTCTCTCATTTACTTTCCAAATAAACTTTTGTTAAAAACTTAAAAAAAGCCGGGCTCGGTGGCTCAGCCTGTAATCCCGCACCTTTGGGAGGCTGAGGTGAGTGGATTGCCTGAGCCCGCGGGTTCGAGACCCGCCTGGGCAGTGAGACCTCATCTCTACAATAAATCAAAAAATCAGCCGGGCGTGGTAGCGCATGCCTGTAATTCCGGCTACCTGGAAGGCTGAGGCGGAAGGATCGCCGGAGCCCAGCAGGTGGAGGCTGCGGTGGCCGGGAGCGGCCACTGCACTCCAGTCTGGGTGACAGAGTGAGACTCCAACCCAAAAAAAAAACGAGTTGAAGTATATGTTCACCATTAAGTTTTGTTATGAAGTTTAATACTATTTTGGTTATCAATTTTTATCTCATAAGTTTTTGATATTATGAAAGTGACTATTAGTAAATTTAATTGCAAAATTTACATTTAGTAATCTCACTTCTGTATAGTTGTATATTTTTAGAATTATTCCAGCTTACATAATTATCAAATTGTGATTTCACTATAAAAGTATCTCCCCAAGGCAAGTACAGTATTTTATTTGTTTTCATATTACTTGTTATGATAATTCATTATATTTCACGGAAGGATTATTTTTCCTAATTGAATTTTAGATTCTTTTAAAAAATTACCTAAGATTAAAATGGGCTGATGCTACTTATATAAAGATTAACCCAAAATTCTATCATTATGTTCATATGGCTTTATATGAATATACATATCTCTCTGTGGATGTGCATGTGTATACGTATGTAAATGTGCTTTCTATCTTATTTTAGAAATTTAACGTTGATTTTAACGTTTCCCTTATTTAAAATGATTTGTGGGCATTTTTTTTTGTCTTGCCTTTTAAATCATCTGACCCTCTTATTGAGTTCTAAATAAGCCCCAGTAAACAAACCACTACAGTCTGAGTATCCCTAGTCTGTTGATATTTTACAAGCAATCTAGAAAAAATGTGCTTCCGTTAAAAAAAAATTATCAAGTTCACCCATCACCCTTCTTGAGAAGACTCAGATGATAAAAATCTTGAAAAAACACATGAGAATCATCAAAAAGTCACATAAAATTATTTTTGCTTCCTTTCTTCTAGACTTTTCCCTACATCTGATTATCATTTTAATGTCACCATCAGAATACTGATTCTAAATACTGGTACAAAACCATTCATAAAGCCTATATGTTAATTTTTAATTCAAAGTAGAAGCCAAAATATAGTTGAGTTGCCATTTAAATGTCTTAAAAAATAAAAAGAGGGAAGGAAAAGGTGGAGAGAGGGAGGAAAGAAAAAGAAAGGAAGAAAGAAAGTGGGGAGGAGGATATACGAAGGATGAGAAGCAGAGAGAGAGAAAGAAGGCTGGAAGGAAAGAAAGAAGTAAGGAAGGCTGAAAGAAAGATGAAGGAAGGAAAGAGAGAAGGGAGAGTGGGATGAAAAGAATAAAGGAAAAAGGAAAGGAAGGAAGGAAGCAAGCAAAGATGTAAGGAGAGAAGGAGGTAGAGAAGAAAAAAAGGAAGGAGAGAGAAAGCAAGCAAGACTCATTAGTAAAGACTAAAGATATTGACCTGAAATTAAGAATAAATCATAATTAAGTTGACCAAGGAAAATTTATTATTCATTAGTCACTTTAATGGCTATAATTAACTGATTGCAATTAATAAAAAAGAATTAAAAAGATGAAACTGGAAAGAAAATGAATTATAGAAAGGAAAGTAGCCATATAACAAAATAGACAAAGAATAAAAAAAGCCTCAGTATTTCATAAGTTTCTTACATTTTAGAGGTTGTCATGAAAGTAGTTACAACTTGTTTATGTTCAAATCAACATTACACTGAGATTATCCTTATACACATTTTTATTTTAGATTGCTTTTGTTTCTTGCATGCAGTCAATTTCTGAATAGCTGTATTGTTCAGAGTCTGTGATGTCATGTGATAGACAAATAATTACATCTATTAAATGATAATTAATCGTTAATATTAATCCAGGCAAAATATAATTAGACAGTAAAATTAACTAGAGAAGTTTGAAGTAATAAAATTATAAAATATTTATAAATATAAGGATTATTCATGCTTTGAAATTTTTAAGCCTTGTAGTTTAATCTATAGTTGAAGGATGTGTCTGCACATAATTCTTCACACTTATGTCATATACATATGTGTATGTGTGCATACTCTTTATTTATATAGCATTTTCCTGGAATATAATGAATCTTACCTCATTCTGCAGATCTCGAATCATTTTGCTCTTTCTTTCCACTTCAGTCTTTAAAAAATTAATCTGAAAATGAATAGAATTTTATGTAGACACATTCCAAACTCATTTCCATGGATTTCATATTTTTTCATTATTTTAAGATATAATAAGATGATTTTCTCTTTATTAACAAATATTGAAATACAACAAAGGATTAAAATACCCATTAACCAAAACCTTCATTGCTCAATTCATGCATATATTCACTGATTACATAAAATATTATTTTGTCATATAGACAAAAAGTTCATTTCTATGAATTGAGAAACCATGCGCATTATGACTTATTCTCTTACCAGGCTAATGTTTAAAAAAAGTGTTTCTTTAAAATAAATACTTTCTAAGGTTGAACCTAAGAATCTCTATTTCTAAGGCACTCCCAAGAACTGTGACTTGTGGACATGTTTGAGAGCGATTTCATAGTGATATTTTTTATCTCAAAAGTAGTGAAAATTGTGAAGACTCTACTCTCCCAAAGAAACCATGATGTCCTCTCCTGGAAAGATATTGCCAGAATCTGTAACATTAGGCCAGTTATTCCAATGTATTTTCATAAACATATCTGCGCTTAGTACTCTGAAAAAAAGACAGTATAGCACATTGGTCAATATTTTATAGAATTTACAGTCTTATAGTCACTGAGGGTTAACTAGTCACTGAGACTTTATAGTAACCGAGGGTTCACTATGATTAAAAAAACTTTATAATGGGTGTATGAAACACTTAAATTCTTTAATTTTCAATTTTCTAGTAGTCATATTTTTAAAAAATTAAGAAGTCACAGGCAAAATTAGTTTTTCTAACATTTAATTTAATGTATCCACAATATTATTTGGGCATGTAGTAAATTATTAACAATGTAACACACTTTATTTTTGTAATGTGTCTTTAAAATCCAACACAACTTTTTTGCTCGCGGCACATCTCAGGTTGGACTAGCCATATTTCTAATGCATGATAGTCTCATCTATTGATAACTTGAATAACATATTTTTGAAGATTTCTGGAATGATAAAAAAGGATCATGATCTGGGTTATCTCTAAAGTCAGACTGAGTTCTTGGGCTGGAAATCAAATTCAGGGGGACGGTTAACTTTTACCGTATATACAACTTATTAAAATGTTTAGTTCTGAAATATTTCAAGCATGAAGAAAAGAACAAAAATTAATATGTAAAATGCCTACAGGCCAATGACTAAGATTAAATAGATAAAAATGTTTTGTTCAATTTTCATCAGACCTTTTTACAAGTAAAATCATATTATATGTACTATTAAAGCACCACCCAATCCCTCTCCCCAGAGGTAACTACTATCCTGAAGTGGCATACTTGTCTCTATATGTTTTACGCAATTATTTATTGTGTGTGCTCACATAAAAAATCAACACTGTTAATTTGTGTTAATGTTTGTATAAATATGTGAAACCCATCTTTTTGTGTGTGAGATTTATTTATGATTATTTTATATAACCAGTTAATTTATTGTAACTAGTGAATTTGCTATGGTAGAAATCACAGTTGAAGGTAGCAATTACTGAATTAATCAAAGTAGAGGCTAAGTTATTGTAACTGTAGATCCCTAAATGCAGTGGTTTAAATAAGATGGATGCTTACTTTTCTCTCATGTAGCAATATAGAGCCTACCGGTGCCTCAGACCTACAGGTCAGTGACCCACAGCTGTGATGCAGCTGTCACAACTGAAATCATCCTTTTCGTGGTTTCTCCCATTTTCCCAGTTGCTGGATATGGAAAGTCCAGGGTAAAATATAAGCATAACCCCCCAAAATTAACCCTATAATAAAATCTGAGCCTATCGGATTTTCTTCAGAAGCTTTGAAATAGGGCCCCTTCCCCAGAGAGAATGAGCTAGTTATCAGCTAAGGTAAAAGATGTCATGAGATAATGTTAAGGCTTTGGTAAGTCAAGTGTTGCACAAATAATTAATAAGCATAGAAAGGCAGTTTTTAGAGGGATAGAATGAAACATGTCTATCAAAAGCTAGCTGAGTCACATAATTGGAGGACTACAGGAATAAAAATCCCGGGATTCCTTCTGTCTGACATCTTCAAGAGCTGCAACAGTTCTAGTGTCACCAAACACCACATCTGACTCCTGTGCTTGGCTTTCAATAGGGTCCACCGAAAGTTCTACAGTTCATGTTCACACCGTTTCCTTTCTGGATTGTGTAGATTCCCAGACTTTACTGTGTTCTCAAATGGTACTGAAAACACAAACCAAACTATTCTGATTGTGAAATAACAACAAAAAAAAAGAAGACTGATAACTATCATACCTATCGTTTTGGCAATATTATTTTTTAAGATAAGTTTGAATTTTGAAGCTATGGACAGCTACCCCAAAACATTAGTCACACACTATTATCTTATTTGGTAGATAGTCCATGTTGGTTGAAAATGCAAGGTACTACCAAATAGCACTTGACCCTAATCAAAATTAGATGTGTATGCAGAGAAACAGCACATCTCAAAAAAACAAACAAAAAAGTTTACACTTTTTTTTACACAGGCAATTTATAAGCTCCAGAGCTTTTCATATATAAGGATTTGTCTTTCTTTTAAGTTGTGAACTACTTGAAGACATCTTTCTTATAGTAGTAATTTGATTTTTCACTGATACGATTATTTCCCCAAAACTTCACATATTGGTACTGTATGTGCTTTTCATAATTAAGGATTAAAATTAATTAAATATAATGAAAATCCATTTCAATATCAAAACCATAATTATTAAATGCTAAACAAGGACAAAAAACTTGGGAATGCAATATTTAAATATTCAAGGCACAACATATTTTCCATACATTTAACAAGTATTAGCATTTTAGGCCATGTGTTTAGAATCCCAGCAGGCTTTAATATCCCTGAAATAAAAACATTCTTAGAGATAGTTATGAAATAATTCTCAGAGACAGAAAATACTATGTATTTACTTTGAATAAGAATGAAAGAACATAGCAATTTTTTATTCTTAATGAGAGTCAATGCTTGATGCTAATTCTTGCGTTAATTATGTCTCACTTAGGACAAATTAAGCCATAAAAATTAACAAGAGTAGTGAAATGCATTCAATGACCATTAATATTTTTACTTATTCTGGTCACATTGAAAAGCTCATTCGTCCTTGCTGTCTGTTAGGGTTTTCCATTAGGGATACAAATTTGAAAGATTTTCCGTTTCACTATTTGCTAAGGGATAAAAATAAACATTCACATATCTATAAAGAGTATTTTTTAAAAGATGTATAACTTTTTCAATTTAATTTTTCAAAACTGTTGGTTGAAAAACCAAAGTACCATCAAATAAGACTTGCCCCATTCAAAATTAGATTTCCATGGAGGGAAACAGCATATCTTCCCTAAAACAGTATTTTTTATTCTAGGTCCATAATTCAATAGGCAAAATTCCCTTTTTAAATCAATAGAAAATATAAAAATGAATCAATGTTTCATAGCATTTTCCTATAGACTTATCAAATGCTGTGGGCATCTGTAGCATCTTTTGCAGAAATAGACAATTTTTTTATTTTTATGAGAAAAGGCATAGTAATTTGATATTTAATCAAGGACAACACACATAATTATATGCTTTTAAATCTAAGACATCACAACATTTGAAGAATCAAATTCAAATTTTTGTACCAATTTGAGAGAGCAATTACAATTATCTTAATCTTCCTTTCTTATCCAATTTCCAATTATAACTATAATCTTCTTAGAAGAAAAAATAAATTGTAGAAATTTACAATATGTTTTTATTTATTTATTTATTTATTGGGTTGGAGTCTCACTCTGTCACCCAGACTGGAGTGCAGTAGCTGCTCGCGGCCACTGCAGCCTTGACCTGCTGGGCTCTAACAATCCTTCTGCCTCAGCCTTCCAAGTAGCTGGAACTACAGGTGCACGTTACCACACCTGGCCAATTATTTTGATTTATTATAGAGATGAAGTCTGGTCAAGTTGCCCAGGCAGGTCTTGAACCCGCGGGCTCAGACAATCCACTCACCTCAGTCTCCCAAAGCGTGGGATCGCAGGCTGAACCACCGAGCCCGGCTAATATGTTTAAAAATATGTGTTAATTTAATCCTTAAGCTAGAATCTTAAAGTGGATTGCCTGAGCCCACGGGTTCGAGACCCGTCTGGGCAGGCGAGACCTCATCTCTACAACAAATCAAAAAATTAGCCGGGCGTGGTAGCGCGCGCCTGTAATTCCGGCTACTCGGAATGCTGAGGCAGAAGGATCGCTGGAGCCCAGCAAGTCGAGGCTGCAGTGGCTGGGAGCGGTCACTGCACTCCAGTCTGGGCGACAGAGTGAGACTACAACTCAAAAAAAAAAAAAAAATTACAAAGAAACATTACAAAACATTCTGTTGGAATTTTTATCAGAATTTGGAAGTGGTGATACCAGAGATATTTGCCTTTTTCTAGATTCCATTGTCTATCAGAAGCACATAAAAATAAAATGTTTACAGTACATATTCATAGTATACAAGCACATTTATATATTACATGTATATATATATAGACACACACACATGTATACACACATATGTCATTCTATATTAGTTAAAAATAATGTCATCTCATTATAGACTCTGAGTTAGAACATATTACTCATTGAATTAAAAACATGAAACTTGTTTTTCTGAAGAGATCGATATTTAAATTTTTTCAACTGTACATGTTTGCATTTACAGCTATACAAAATGCATATTTTGTTAATATTATATTGAATTTGTTTATTGAGGATTTTTATGTCTTCATGAAGTAATGAAATGCACCTATAAGTTGATTTAGTCTTATTGTCTTTAATTGATTTTGGAAATGTAAATACACATTCTCGAAGAATGATTTGAGGTTTTTAGCGATTTTTCTAATTCTCAGAACATACTTGCATGTTAGGAATTAATTGATCACTGAAAATTAACTGGAAAGTCACCACTAAAACCTTCTCTGGAATTTGGGGAAAATAATGTTTTTTTGCAGAATAAAATTCCATTCATATT